AGTAAGCAAGGTGAAACCAAATTTTAAAGCTAAATTGTTTGGAAATGTGTAACATCATTTCCGCGTTAATAGAAGTTACTTTATCCAAGTCATAAATATTATTAACCATTCGCTCTTTCCTCCCATCATTGAAGTTTTCATATCCACCATCAACAATCTCTTCCTTTATATCAATAACGTCATTACATCCATCGCCAAATTCACTACCTCCACCATTATCATAATCTTCCCTACTATCATGCATTTCACTTAATGCACAAATTTAATGGCAAAATATTTATAATTGTGTTCAAGAACTTATAAATATATCCAACACATGTAATGAACTTTGTCCAAGATTGCTCTTTGTTGCCTTCATTATCTCCAGAATTGTGTGCGCACTTATGGGGTTTGCAGTGTTGAAATTAGTGAATTTGATATCAAAATTCGACTTTATTCCATCAGTTTGTAGGGGTGAGGTGATGAAATTTTTCTCATTTGTCATCTTTGAGTAGTTTCTTAGTTGATGTTTAAAAAAAAAAGAACTTCCGATCCAAAACAATAAAGTCAGATTCAACAATGTTGTATACAACTCGCGGCTGTATCTTGGATTTATAAAATATCAGCAATTGAGACACTATTTGGTCAAAATTTTATGTGTTACTTGATACAATTTTTTTCCTTGAATGAAGTGAATTTGAAGTTAAAAAGAATGGAAGAGTAAAGGTAGATTGCTACTTAATTAATGTTGTCTTTGATGTTGTTGTATAACTCTTATAAATTACTCATTGTAGACTTCTTCAACTTTTCTTTGACAGGTTTAAATTAATATGATTCCGAATTGAACTTATATAATTAATGGTCTAGGCTATCGTACGTCAGGCCCGGGGGTACATTAGGCCACTGTACGCTAGCCATATGACATGACGGGTTTAGTGACGTGACGGGTTGGGTTTGACCATTTTTGGTCCAAAATGATGATGACTAGACGATTCTGTTAGCCATGTCAGCACATAACGGACTCCATTAACGGAGTTGGACAGAGGCTAACAGAGACTGACTAAACGTGGACTGTTAGAGTAATTCGAGTGACAAATTTGATATTAATTTTTTAGAAGGACTAAACATGACATGTTTTAGTAATCCCAGTGACCAAATGTGGCATTTACCCCATTCCATTTCTTCCAACGAGCCACCAAAGTATACCAAGGTCCACTTACTTTTCAGCAACCTTGATATTCCAGTTGATTCACCCTAGGAAGTTGATTATGTTGCTTTGCTCTTTAATCTTACATTTGTAGTGATTCCATAACCTTTCGTCTTCTTGTAGCTCCTGAGAATATGTTCTACAGTCTCCTTCTCATTTGTATAGTGGTTACAATATCGTTTCTTTCTTTCTGCATTGGTGAGTAGTCTATTATGTGAAAAAAGCAGGGTCGTCCCATCTCCACAAGTCTCTCCATTCTTCTCCAGGCTCGTCATCTTTCTCGCCAACAACGAGATTGTAGGCGGATTGCAGTCTAAATCTCTAATCCTTCTTGAAACCCCATATAGGTCTTTCCTCGCAGAGATCATGAATTTGGGCCTCGGAGTCGCTTCCGAGCAGCTTGGCTCATTTGCAGCTCTATGCGACACTTCACCTCAACTTCAAGTTTCGTCAATGTAGAAGCCCGAAACAAAACCAACTCTTCCAATCTCTCTTAGTGTGTAGGATATGATCGATGCAAGGTAAAACAAGAAAGGATAAAGTGGAGTTGAATGCAAGCAAAAACCAACTTAAAGGGGTCGTTTGCTTCATGGATTTAAAAATGAGGGTTTTGTAATTTAAAACCCCAAGGATTTATCAAGGATTTGAGGCATCATGGATTTGTAACAATCCTTTGTTTGTTGGGATGTTTTTATCATGGATTTAAAGGTGTGGGATTTACTACTTAAAGTCAAAAATTACATTACTGTCCTTTCTATATGTTTGACATGTTTATGATATGTACACAAAACAAGGACAAAACTTCAAAATTACCTTATTATCATTTTCTATATGTTTGACATGTTTATGATATGTACACAAAACAAGGACAATACATACTAATAAGCATAATGTTGCCACATGGACAATAATAATAAACGAGAAAAATTCGTTTTAACTTTTAACGTAACATAATCAATTACCAATTCTTTGTCCTCCTTTTCAAAAGTGACATATAACAACATATATTAGAATCGGGAGAACAAAGAATTACACGTTCCATGAAAAGGTCAAAGAAAACTAGAACACAAGAAATGATATAAAAAATCTAACTCATGTTTGCACATTAATTGAACGTTTATATTATTCATTTATTGTTAATTATAATGTATAATAGTTAAATTTGAGGGCAACCTTGGAATATTAAAAGTGCATGAGGGTATATGGGTAAAATCTCATCAAGGATTTATGTCATATTCCAAATCCCACATCAACATGTGGGATTTATAAGTCCGTGGGGTCCACGGATTTGGACCCTTGAAATCCGTGGGCCCCACGGATTTGGTCTCCAAAAAAGGTGCAAGCAAACAACGGATTGTACCTAAATCCTTGATAGTTGGTTTTTTGGTACCAAATCCATGTACCAAATTCTTGAAGCAAACGACCCCTTAGATACAATCTTGTTGAGGCTATCTATGAAGCTTATCTATACGAAGCCTTAAATTTCTTCTACCACCTCTTTCTTCGGGATAAAACGAAGGAAGGACTTAGCATTGGAATATGTTAAAATCCACGACAGATATAAATCATGGATTGCCTTCGTTAGATCATTCTTTATAATGCACCAAACCTTTTTGTAGAACTCATGTGTGTAACCATCTAATCGAGTTGCCTTGTTGTCGCTGCAAGCACAAGTAGCTCTCCAGATCTCGGCTTCAGTGAGAGGCTTCATTAATTTCTCATTGTCTGCTCAAGAGATTGAACATGGCCTATAATTCAGAGGGAAAGGCCTGGTGAAGTTCTCCTCCATAAATCTCTGTTTGAAATAATTAGTAAAACTAGTTTTCCCTTCTTCTAAATATTCGGTTAGGCTGCCCTTGATTTTCAGTCTGTGGATCTTGCCACTTCTTTCGTTATTTCTGGCAACTCTATGGAAAAATGAATGTTAAATGAATTTTATAGTTCATACATAGAGAATTAAAGATTGGGGGTTCACATTAGAGATTAAGGTATAGTATAAGTTAATGGGCTAATACCACTACAACACCCGAACTATTCGAAAAATGCCACTTGTATCCTATTCTTTTCAATATTCCATTCATATCCTGAACTATTATATTTTGTGTCATTTGTATCCTGCCAATTTCGTTGACCGTTAAAGATAACAGTTGACCAAACGGCGGTCAACTTAACATTGACTTTTGCTGACGTGGCAGTGCCAAGTCATTGACACCTCACATTTTTAATTTATATTATATACAACTTTGAAAATAAAAAATTGAAAAACCTTTAAATTCAAGAATATTACTAAATAATATTCTAAAACCCCAAAATTCAAATAAAAAAAAATCTCCATTGATTTCGTCGATTGTCCCTCTACTCTCTGCTTGGTGCTTTCCCGTCGATACTTCAACGACTTCGAAGTTGTGGTGGACTGCTCCTGCAGCGATGACGGAAGTGAGGAGGGAACCGCCGTGTGGAAGAGGGAAAGAAAGGAAGAGACGAGGTGGATGCGGCTGGATTGTCGCCGGGAACCGTCGAATCACAAAAAGAGAACCCTCTACCGGGAGCTATCAACACCCAGATTCTGAACCTTGGTCGAATTCATGATGGGGGAGGTCAAGCTGAGAGTACAGGAAAAGTGAACCGAAGGCAGGGGGAGGGGAATCGAAGGTCGTGGGAGGGGAATCATCATTCTCGTCTTCCGCCGTCATTCACCTCGCCCAACCGAGTCCGAGAATGAGAAAGGCCCCTACGACTGTCATTTGCGTTCCCTAGCCGTCGTTCCTCAATTAAATCTGGTTGCTAGAGGAAGGGTAACCAGAGAGCTAGACCGAGTTATGGTGTTGACGAAGACGATGGGCGATGTTGGATGCAACTAGGAAATAGATCGGGTTTGCTTCGATTTGTCACGAGCACCAAAATCCCTCGCGATTTCGTCAAGCCAAGAGAAGCAACCAGGGGCATGATTCTAAGATCTCATCGTCACGAAGCTTCATCCCCACTCCAGTGTTCGTCGCCGTAGAAGAGAGAGGGTGAGGGATAGAGGTCCTTGTGGTTCCGCCGGAGTCGGATTTCAGTCGCTCTTCGAGAACGACGATTCCCCTCCCCGACCTTCGATTCCCCTCCCCCGACCTTCGATTCCCCTCCCCATGACCTTCGGTTCCTCTTAGCTTGACCCCCCCCATCATGAATTCGACTAAGGTTTCGAATCTGGGTGTTGATGGCGACTTCCCGGAGAGGGCTCCCGGCAGAGGGTTCCACCAGACGGCAGGAGGAGACGCGGAGAAGGGATTGGGAGGGTTTTCTATTTTTCTATTTTTTTTATTTTTTATTAAATGAAAATTGATAATGAAAATTCCAGGTCAGATGCCACGTCAACGCTGACTGTATTTTCTGTTAAATACTAACGGTCAACGCCAGTCAACACTAACGGAATAATAGTTCAGGACACAGATGGAATATTGGAAACAATAGGACACAAGTGGCATTTTCCGGATAGTTCGGGTGTTATAGTGGTATTAGCCCTAAGTTAATTCATGGTCTAAATAGCAAAATTCTTTGAATGTATGGTAAGGTTAACATACATCATACATACGCTAGCTTTTTTTATATATATTAATTTGTTTATTAACTTACCATCTTTTTGTAAAATCCCACCTATATCTCCTTTTTTACTAGATTTTTTTTTCCTTTGGAAAGAAATCCATTTCAGTTATGCATTTACTGTTTATTTAATTACCATATTTTTCTCAACAACCACCTTTCATCTTTTAGTATTTATAAAGAAGCAACACTCGGTATCTCCCACAAGAGAACAAAAAAAAAAAGATTGAAAAAAAAAACTTAAGCCTGGTGGTGACAAGTACTTTGCCAGATCTTCCTAAAGGTGTTGTGGCAAAGCGAATAACGACGCGATGACAGAACAAACGACAGAAGTAGCCGAGGAGATCAGCAACAGTGTGTCCATTGAACTTCTCAAGGCGAAACTGGCAGCGTTTGCAAAGGAAAGGGACTGGGATCAATTTCACAGTCCTAGGAACGTCCTCTTGTGTTTGGTATATGGCTTCTAAACTAACCCTCGTCTCTATTATTTGATTTTTTTCTCTCTCTCCTTTTTTATGTGTCTTGGGTTTGAAATGAAACCAAGAAAGCTAATTAACAATAATACTGTTAGGTTTGGTCGTCGGGCCTAGTAGAGTGTCTGTATTTACACAGGGTTGATTTTGTCGGATCACGCGCCCAGACCCAAACGCACCGCTCATTATGGGCTATGACATAGCAGGATAGGGGCGGAGATAATATGTCATTAGCCCGATATTTTGTAGGAGCTACGTACCCGTAATAAAGAGCTTGCAAAATGAATCTATTTATCATAAAGGGATTAGTTGTTCCTGACCCTGCTTCACCTTAATTGTTAGGAAAACTGGATCATTGATCTCAGTGATTTTATTACACTAGTATGCTTTGTTTGTTGCACGATGATGAATGAGAATGGTGGAATTCGGGTGCAGGTTGGGGAAGTTGGGGAGCTATCGGAAATATTCCAGTGGAAGGGGGAGGTGGAAAAAGGACTCCCAGGATGGAAGGAAGATGAAAAGGTTCATCTTGGGGAGGAGCTCTCTGACGTGCTGCTCAACGTTGTGAGGCTCTCTGATGTCTGTGGCATTGACTTGGGGAAAGCTGCTCTCCGTAAGCTCCAGCTTAATGCAATTAAGTACCCTGCTGACGTCGATTACACCAACAACTACAACATCAAGAAAAATAGGGGTGCCAACAGTAATTTACCTATTGTTTAGGTACCTTTCAACCTATGCAGGTTTTTAGTGATATTTATTGTTTTTTTTTTACTAATGATCACTTGAATTGCATTCTGAAAGATCAGTTACCGTATAAAAAGAGACCAACCAAAGAAAATTGAAACTAGATCAAGAGGAGCTATTCCAAAGCATTTGGTTAACAAACCATATGCTTGAGAGATAAAACATAAAGAACACTGCACAAAGGGAATTAACCCAACACTGAACAAACCATGCACAACGCGCGAATCAACCCAGCAATGAACAAACCACGGCTCGGGCTTGACTCGCTATCAGCTCATGAACGAGCTCATCGAGCCCAACTTAACGAGCCAACGTATTTTAAGCTCAACTTCATATCAGGCTTTAACAACCCAATAACTCTTTTGACAGTTACCTATGTAGACATTGTGAACCAATGCAAAGCAATAGTTCGTTCACTGGACAATTTTGTTAGACATCACTTCAGGCCATGCTATGAATTCTAATTTAGAAAAAATCCATCACTATTATATAGTTGGATAAAGTATGACATTCATATTTTGGCCAACAATGTGATACATAACAAAGCATGTTTTCTGCAGTTTGCTTCATTTTCCCTCCAGATCAGTTCCAATCTTTCTTCTCTGGAAATCATCACGCCATCTCCTCCAATTTCTAGGAAAATTGGTCTTGGATTGGAGCACACTGAAGATAATAGCCTTCAGAGCAGCAAGGGGACTGTTATAGCTCCATGAAAATATGCTCTAAAGATAATTCACAAGGATGTTAAGGATTAATTTGTTCATTTCATTTATATATTTGAAGGTAATTAAAATTCATCACGAGAGGCCACTGGAAATGATGGTGGACAAAGATTTTAAATGGAACTATGATAGAATCAAGCTAGAAGAGTTGCTTAAGTTGCTCTCCTTATCACACAATACATTCCGAGTCAAAAACTAAAAGTGTCTTAAGTAGTTCAGATGCTGGAAGAAGATGGATTTGCAGAGGGATGGGAAACCCTCGTAATGGATTTGCATGCAGATAACCTAGCTTATCTAAATCAATAACATTCCTTTTACTTCTACCACATTTCACAATACAGGAAATAGAGCAAAAAGGTAAAAATTAAAACTTGTTGTACCACTAGGCAATACACGATGTTCAATTGCAACTACACATGCCACTCCATATGGAGGGAAGCACAATTTGAATAAGTGGTTGCCTAATGATGGTGGTGGACATTAATTAACAAGCAAAATTTGAATTGATTGTTGCTCTAGTTGAGATTGAGGTGTAAAATATAAATAGTGGTTGCTTTCATCACCTAACCTTTATTGAGGTGTTCTAACGAAAAATTATTAACAAATTTGAACATAATTCAACAAACCAATTCATATACTAAATTTTGAAGTCTATATGTGATTAGTAACTCATATTTGATTGGCGATATCCCTGTGAAATGTGTGTTTAAGCATGCATACATTTAAGATAATACATACAATTCATATATGGATATTTAGCCATGTATACAAAGCCTTAAACCATATTGAGTTCTAAGATATGTAGTATAGTCAACCTACAAGTTATATCGCTAACAATACGTTGAAACATATGTAATCTAACCAACCTACGTGTTATTTTACTTACAATAGGCTAGTCTATGAGCAAGTAATGAGAAGCTAATCAAGTTGGTGTGTGATCCATACCATCTAGTTTACTTATGATCTTAAATGGAATTAAGCTTTGAGCCACAATATCAAGTTATTTCATGAATTTTGATGGAGCTAACTCTCCGGCTACACTATCGAGTAAGCTCATGAGCTTTAAACGAGCTATCTCAACAAGCCGAGCTAACTTGATCGAGTTGAAGAGGCTCTGACTCGTATTTAACTCATTAAAAGATGAGTCAGCTCACGAGCTAGCTTATTAAAAATCAAGCCAAGCATCGAGCGAGTTTTAATCGATCTGAGCTTCATGCCACTCACGAGAAGCTTAGCTCATTTGCAGACCAAGTAGTAATTATATGTTCTCCAATCGACAAGGAGTGACCTAACGCACCTGCCAGGATATGACCAACAAACTCTATATCTCAGTAACCAACACAAGTTTGGATGAGTATTAGATGTCGGATGAATTAGTCGGATGATCGTCTGTGAGTCTGTATGCATAAAGTCCTTCCTAATCTCCAATTCCCAATCAATTTTGAGTATATGCGCAAATCGAGCCAGCTTTGCATGGGTGGCCATATAGGTTCATTGAACTAGTTTCATTCCCGAAGATCACTTCACTCCCTGTTGACTCGTGATAGAGTCACTTTAGCCCTACTAGAAAAAGAATTAGAACCCTCCTGCAAAAGGTTCACTGAGAATGCGTGAATTAAGCGACCATCATTTCCCCTCAAGATGCTGATTGTCGTCGTATCAAAAGAAGAGTGAACAATCGATATGTCATTGTTAATGCTTTCCCAGTGATGTGATGGTCTTCAGCGGATTAGCCATCATTCTACTATCCTCTCTAATCTAAAAGACTTCTATCCTTCTTGTGGGCTAACATAGTGTGTTGCCTTAGCCCTTTGATGTGTAACTGAAGTTGTGGTCTCGAGTTTGCGTTCAAACTTATGACTATTTTGGTTCTTCCATAGAAGCCAATATGTGCCTGCAAAAAACTCAATACCAATACTCTGAATCTGGCCTGAGATGTAATGCATGATCCGTTTATTTAGGTTCTCCACGATGAAATTCACATTTGGTTCGTTGTTTTGGAAAATTGCTCACACAACCAGGGCATATGGGCACTTTATAACTATATAAAACATTGTTTTTATGCTCCCCCGCAAATTGTACATGCCACAGTTGCTGTCAAATGCCTCTTTTGGCGCTTAGAATTGGTGAGAAAGTGTGGTTTCGTGGCCACCCAACCACACTTGTTCGGTTTGTGACCCCGTTTCTTTCACAGTTGCTTCGTGCAACATGCACCCCCTTTCTCTTTCTATTCCACCCCCTGCCTCCATGGGTCCTCCAATTCTTCGGTTATATTCCCCTTCTTGGCTTGCCAATTGTTTGAGTCAGGATTCCCTTCTCTTTCCTATGGCGCCCCAGTCGTCAATTTCCTCCGCGTGCAAGGTGCCTAGCGTTCTGCATGTGAAGCGCACAAACAGACTTAGGTGGTCCATTAGTACTCCGACGATTAAGTTAGCACCACGATTTAGAGAGAGAAGTAGTGGAGAGTTTAGCGAGAAAATCCAACCTGAGTAAATGAGGTTCACCTACTCTCCTATTTATACTCGGAGCCTTGCCCACCGTTGCCCCCCCCCCCCCAAATCCGCCTCACGTCATCACTGTAACAAATGCACCGTACTTTCTTCTTACCATGCGCCTCAACCATCTGACACCGTTTTCAGAGGTCCAAGGCTCATGACCTAACTTCACTTAACCCTCCTTATGCTTTCGGCCGTTGTGTCTCCTTGTCCTTATGCACCCCGTGTCACAAGTTGCGTCCCATCCATTCAAGCTATCAACTGTCCACTTGGGCCGAGCCCTATCCTCATTAGGCTCGCATATCGGGCCTTGACTGCCCTTTTGGGCCCTTTTCTCTACCTATTGTCATACACCATCAGTTATCAAAATATAAATGAGAAACCACAAAAGTCTATTAATTAAGTGGCTAAGTACATTTTTTAAACTCCTTCTGAAATTACAAATAGATATATAGCAAAAAGATTAAATAAGGTAAATAATTTCGAATTTTGGCAGAAATATAAAATTTTGAGATAAGTTGCGAGAGGCAACTAAAGAAACTTGTCCAAATACATTTGTACATTCACTATGCTTAATGTGTATGCATATCTATTATTATGGTGTGTAATCTGGAAATTGCCTCTACCTTCACATTTGCCCACAATTTTTTCCATTTTCCATCCGAATTATATGAATTCATTTTAGAAATTTAGAAAGTTAATAAATATTTTTATTTTTTAGTAGACTCTATATTTGTTTGTCTTTTGAACTTATCCTGACAATAATTATTTGGAAACCAGTCTAAGAATAAAAGGCAAATAACATAAACCTTACAATCTTGAGAAAGAAAAAGATAACCACGCCAGCTTCCCAGGGAGATAAGATAATGTACCATAAATATTTTTTCGTTAAATAATATACCATAAATTTTAATTTGCAGGAAATATGAATAAAAAAATAAAGAAGGACAGGCAAGTCAATTCACATTTTATGTTTAAAAATGTATTTGAATTAATAGAAATATTTTCAGTAAAAAAAATTCATCTGGGCATAAATTGTAACATTGTTATTGATAAATAAAAATATTGTTATATTCTCTATAACAATATCCGTCTGCCATGCATCAAATTTTAATTGAAATAAAACTTGGTTAATTCCGTTTTATCAAAATTTCATTGAGATTATGCTTTGATCACTACTTTGTAAATTTATATAGAGAGAACTAGCTGTAGTTATTTTCGTAACCTGTTATTTAGTTTAGTGCATTGTTGTTTACTGCTTGCATTGACCCCATATTTAAAACATTTACGATCATAATAATGCGTGTAAGCTACACGCGTACTTGAAAAATATGCTATAGGTTTGAAATAACCTATATTTGTGAAGTACTCTCGATAGACATTTATATTGAGTAACAATGTTCGGTGTAATATAACTTCACTAATCACATAAACAACAATTCCTTATTTATAGTTTTATACTATTGATTGGTATTTGCATTTAACATAAGTTATTATATAGATTTTTTATGATGGTTGCAGGTGTATTAACTCATACACGAATAGGAAATCGATGAGTGAATCGCCTAGAACAAACGGAAGTATAACTTTGACCAACTTATTACAACTTATCTAGTTATATGTGTGCCTGTATTAAATTTAAAACTAGAATTGCGCTCGTGTCATGTACTTAACTTTCATATATGACAATATATTTTAAAATTATTACCGAGAATGAAGTATTACCAATAAGTATTTATATTAATAAACAACAATCATGTTAGCATAATCTATATATCGTAACTACGTAAATTGGATCACTCTCATGCGCTTTCGGAAAATAGGGTTAAGTGATATGATTTCTTTTGAATT